ACACACACACACACACACACACACACACACACACATGCACGCACACACACCAGGCAGAATCAGATCAGAGAAGTAGAAGTCATGGGGTCTTAGAATAGAGGAGGTCTGGGTTTAGGACTCTGAGTTGCCCAGGCCTGACTATCCCCATCTGTCAGCACAGGCCCTTGGGGAGGGAGCAAGCCTCCTCTCTCTAGATCCAGGCCAGCAGGCACAGCCTGGCACAAAGACGTAGCCATCAGAGGCGGCCACCAGGTGGCACCAGCATCCATCCCATGAGCTGGTAAGTGGCTGGGGGTGACCTCCAGTCTGGGCACTTAGGGTCTCTTAGATCAGAGGCAGAAATGCCCCATTTGTACCCAGCTTTCGGGCCCTGCCTGAGTTCTGAGCACACCACAGAGGCCTTGCCAGTGCCCAAAGTTGGTCAAATCCCTGGAGCCCATCCCCTCTTCTCATTGCAGAGGGCAATTCACAGCAGGGTCAGTGCCACAGGACAGTGGGGTCCAGCCTCCAGGCCGGGTCTTTCCCTGCCCCCGAGCCCTCCATGCACTTGGCAGTCCTGGGTCTCTGGCTGTGCAGGTTGCCAGCTAAGCTCACACTTCTCACCTGCCTAGGGGCCCAGAATCAGGGAGTGGAGGACTAGGCTGTGAGAGCCTGTCCCTCCAGCCCCGGGGGGATGGGCAGTGGTGGGGGAGGGCTCTGGAGGTCAGGTGCCTGCATGGTGTCCAACAGCCTCTGGAAAGAGGCATCAGGTGGGCACTCACCTGTCAGCCATCTGCGGGATGATGTAATGCCCATTCTTGTGATCTGAACAAAAATAAAAATGCCAAGTCACTGGTGCTGGGTGGCCTCAGTTGCTGGGAGCCCACCTCACTGCCATGAGTGGGCCTTGGCACCCAGAAGTGTTAGGAGAAAAAGGGGGGCAGGCCACCCTGAGAACCCTGGAAGCTGGCTAGAGGTTGTGCCCACCCCCACTCCCCAGCCCCAGCATGCTGCAGCCCAGAGCCTGCAGCAATTTTCACAGGAGCCAGTTGCCTAGCAACGCTGTTCCCCAGCCGGCTTTGTCACCATGGCACCTGCTGCTGGGGCGTGTCTGGGTCCCACCTGCCTGGCCTGACCAGGCGCACCCCATGCTCTCCGCTCACCAGGCTTGCGTCCACAGAGGTAGAAGGCCAACCGGTCAGTGAGCTCATACTGGCACTCGACTAGCCTTTCGGCCAGCTCGTGGTGCCCCGCCTGCCTGTGGGAAGGGGCATGGCTCAGCCCTGCGGCAGCAGCAGCCCACTCCTGCACCAGTCCAAGCCTCACCCCTCAGCCAACCCTCACCTGGCATAGTCAATGGGTGTGCGGCCGTTAACGTCAGGGGAGCCAGGGTCAGCCCCATACACTACGAGCAGCTCGGCCTGCAGCGTCTGGCCTGCCTTGGCAGCCACGTGCAGAGGTGTGGTGCCCTTCTCGGGGTGGAAGAAGTTGGCCTGGGCACCCAGGGAGAGCAGGCGCAGACACGTCTCCAAGTTGCCCGTCCGTACGCTTGAGTGCAGTTGCTGCAAGGAGCAGAGCGTGCAGTAAATCCGTGTGCACCCCACGCTGCACCTAGTCCAGGCTGCTCCTGGGGCTCCTCCTCACTCCCAGGGGTCCAAATGAAATTGGGCCATGGCAGGGAGGACACAGGGCTTCTCACTAGGAGCTAATGCCAATTAATAATAGCTGCCATCAGCCACTACCTACCACGTGCTGTGTTCTCCCTGGGAGAGATACTAACCATAAAGGAGGATGCTTTAATTTCGTTCCCATTTTACAGATGAGGAAACCAAGGCTCTGAGAGGCTAAACCACTGCCCCAAGTTTTCTCAGCTTTCTAGTGGCAACTGAAGGAGTTTCATCCATGCACCCTGACTGAGTGATCCTGTCCCCTCCTATGCCCGCTGCTCTCCCCAACCTGGCTGCCTTATAGCTCAGGGGTGATGAAGGAGAGGCTTTTGGGATATCATGTGTGAGACAAGGAGTGGGGGCTGCCCACCCGTTTGAAACCCCTCAAACCTTGCTGAGGTCTTTGGCAGTGACCCCGTCATCGTCCCGGCAGGGAAGCTTGTGTACAAACGCCAGCATCTGGTACTTGGCCCTGATGAACTCCGATTTGATGGGGCTGTGTGGGTCACCCAGGAGGAAACGAGGAGCACAGTGGGAGAGCCAGTCACCAGCCACCTCCCCGGTCTGTCCCAGACACACGGCCCCTGCCCACCACCCACTAGCCCCACTCACTGGACTTTGTCTTGGGGATTGGCTTTGCGCCGGCCACTCTGCACTTGTGCGGGGTCCAGCAGCGAGTGCTCCCAGATGGAGTTGGCCCCGTTGCTGGCGAGCGTGTGCACCATCTGTGGGGAAGAGGTGCCAAGTGAGAGAGTGCCCACTGCGAGCTGGGCACTGGGGAAACACCTCCTGTGCACCTACTGTGGCCGTAGGGCTGGAGACGTACTGAGGGGCCTGTTGGGTGCTTGGCCCCATTGTGCCTCTAGCCGGCCAGCCACGCAGACATGGATACCACCTGGCACTGCAGTTCACATGGCCAGTGTGCCAAAGTTCAGAGGTGAGTGACTCGCTCAGCGCTACATGGCCAAGCTAGTATGAGGCTGAGCCCCGGGGTGGACAGCGTCCTTTCTGCCTCGAGATGGGTGGGAAGTTTAGGATTAGCCTCTGCCCTAAGTGAGTGCTGCTCCTGGAAGCTGGGGATCAGGCAGGTGTGTGTGCAGGTGTGTGGGGAGGTATTCCATGCCCGGCACCCTCCATCGTTGGGGAAGAACCACCCGGCACAGCCCCGTACCTGCAGCAGCGTGGGAGGCCAGGCGCTGTGGCGAAGGTGCTTGACGATGGAGATGTGGCGTCCCAGGCTCCGGTGCACGCTGCAGCACTCGTCGCACACCAGCACCCCCCTGCTGATGGATGCCCAGCCGGGGTCTGCCGGGTAGGGACAAGGGTGAGCAGAGCCAGAGGCCAAGACATCTGAGCACCTGCCCTGGGCCGGTACTGTGCAGTACTTCTCACGTGCTCGCTAGCTCAGCCCCAGCAGCCTAGACTGGGGCCATCAGGATGCCCAGGTTTTCGCTAAGAGATTTCCCCAAAGGCTCCTTGTCAGGGCTGACAGCCATGCCTGTCCTAGTCATCCTGGCCCCTGTGGGACCTGCAGCTCCAGGGTCCACTCGGCGGTCCTACCAAGTCTCTCAGCCTTTCCCTAGGGAGCAAAGCTGATGCCCCAGCCTTTCCTGCAGGGAGGCAAGAATCCCTGGGGTATTCGACCCTGATGCTGTGTGCTAGACACCCTGGGGACCCTTCCTGCACCAGGCTTCTGAGGGGACCTCCCTGGCTGTCTGCGCCCCTCCATGACTCCTACCCCATTCTCGCTCTGGCAGGCAAGAGGTCCTTTTACACCTGAGCTGCCTGCCACCATCACTGATGAGCTGGGATCCCCTAGGGAGGCTGGACAGGAAAGGTGCCAACCCTGACTGAACGCCTCCTTTGAGGAAGTCTATCGCTGCTTTACAGATGAGGAAACAGCAGCTCAGAGAGGCCGGAGGGCTTGCTCAGGGTCACACGGCGAATGAGTGGAATGGCTGGGATGTCGACCAGCCACTTTGACACCAGACGTCAGGCCATGTCCACACTTGCTGCTGCGGTTCCCTGCAGCTCCGGATGGGTGAGAGCCCCAAGGCCACTTTCTACTCTTTGAGGAGAGATGAACTTTGGAAACAAGAATGGGGGCTAGAACTAAGTGGGAGCGCCAGGGTTCTTCTCAAGGACAGAGGAGATACCACCCATCACGGGCCCCTCGAAAAGGAGGAGGAGACAGCCGCATAAGATTCAGGCTGTGGAAAGGTCATGGGGGAGAAAGCAGCCATTGTGTGCTACCAGCCTGAGCGTGGGGGTGGGGAGCCTCTTTCCCAGGCCCCGCTGCTCTGCCCAGGCCCCCGCCCTGTCTCAGGAAGTTTGGAGCGTGTTTGTAGCAGGGGTGGCTTTCTGCCTTGTACTCACGGTGTCTAGAAGTGGCCCCCTAGAGAAGGACAGACTTGGGGTGATGAGAAGCCCTTCCAACTTGAAGGTAATTCTCAGCACCCTCCAAAGGACTTCCATCAAAGTTCTCAGGGGAACCGTGAGGAGGCTGAGTCAGGGACCTAGCTAAGTAAGCACAGCCCACAGCCAGCGGGCCCCCAATAGCGTGTGCAAAGAGGAAGTGAACAGGGCCACCTCTGGGTCTAAGCTTCTTCAGTGATGCCCCTAAACTAGCAACCAAGGGTGCACAAGGTGACACGTTCACCCTTCTGGGGATGAGGGCTGATTCCAGGGGTCCATGAAGAAAGCACCATTCATTTTCACCAAAGGGGGAGGGCTCACCTTTGTGTTGGCTCTACCCAAACAGTGAGGCAACCCAGGCATGGAAAGCTTCCTCCCCCACTCCCTACTGGGTCAGGGGTCTGCCTGCCAGCGCCTCCAATAGTCTGGCAGGAAGTCGGAAATGATGCAGCCCAAATTCCTCTTGTTGTGATGGTGGGGTTTCCTGTACGTGGGGAGTTGGCCTGGGGAGCCGCCCAGGCTGGGATCATAAATGGGCTGCCCTAAGCCTCCACCCAAGACTTGTGGCCCTACCAGAGGAGCCGCTAGATACGGGCCCTAGAGCCCCAAGCCATGAGCAGACCAGATGAGGTGAGCTGCAGGCATGGTGGTGATCAGAGACTGGGATCTGGAGACTGGTCCAAGGCTTAGCTGGGCTCTCTCCCAGCCTAGAGAGGGGGAGAGGGTCCTTCTTGCCTCATGAGGACCTGAAATAGAAAGGGTGGATCAGAGACACTGTCCTCATCTGAGCCACACTGGTGGCTCAGTGGTCCCAGCTCAGTTTTATATGACCACTTCCTTATGCCCAAGTGGCCTTGGGTCTACTGGAGCAGGAGGCCCCAAGCCCCACTCAGGCCAATTACTCAACAGAAGGGCCAGGAAGGATTTCTGATAGTCATCAGCTATCATTGGTTAAGGGACTCTTGCCCCCAGGAGGCTCCTTGGAGCAAGCTTGGGACAGAAGAATGGGGGGGGGGGTTGCCTCCTCAGTATTCCCCTGGGCTTCTGGCTTCTGGCTGAGGTCAGGGTGTGGTCTGGTATGTGTGAGCAGGCAGCAGGAGGGACCCTGCACTAACGTTAACCTGTGCTGGCTCCATGGATGAATGCCTCTGCTAAGGTGAATCCAAGCCACCAACTGAAGCCACTGGTGCCTCCAGCGCAGTAGGTCTGCATATAAAGGCCAGCCTCTGCTCCCCCACTCCTGATTAAGGACCAGATCCCCATAAGATAAGAGGGAACACCCTTGAAAGTGGGTGAAAGTAATCCAGGGGGTGGGGCCAGGAAATAGCAACAGGGTAATGCAGCTGGACCCACACGGAAAGGGTACTGAGTTCATGTCCAAGGACCTTCCTGAGCATGCTGGGTATGCACATGTGTGCCATGACTGGGACTAGGGCTGGCATGTGCCCAATGTCACTGAGAGTGAGGGGCATGGGAAGCCCATAGAATGATGGAAATGCTCTATTTCTTGACTAGAGACTGTTTTCATGAGTGTACACACAGGTAAAAAAAATCTATCTGAATGGGGGCCAGTAGGTGGCATGGTGGTTAAGGGCACCGGATTCCCACATGGCCAACCACGGTTTCAGTCCTGGGCCTGGTGGCTTGCTTCCTTGCCTTCTCTCTCTGGTCAAGTGGAAAAAATGAATGAATACATAAAAGTAATCTTTAAAAAATCCCCATCTGGATGAACACTAAGCTGCAGACTCTGCTGTACACAAGGGAAGGTGAGGAAAGCCCAGCATTCACTCCCTCTGTAACCTACACTGTGAAGAGGGAAATGAGCCTGCCAGTTGTCCTGTAACATGTCCCCAGCTGGCCCAGCCTGGCTCACCCAAGGTGCCCCAAGGATGGACATCTTTTTATTTTAATAGAATTATTTAACTTTTTATTTATTTATTTTTAAATTTGACCAGAGAGAGAGAGAGAGAGAGAGAAAGTGAGAAAGCAAGCTGCCAAGTCCAGGACTCAAACCGCCGTCAGCCATGTGGGAATACAGTGTCCTTAACCACCATACTACTTCCTGGGTCCCCCTTTTTTTAAGGCTTTTTTTAAGTTTTATTATTTATTTATTTGCTATAGTGTACATGTGCTCACCAGAGAAGAGAGACAGAGACCGACAGAAAGCAAGAAATCACCCTCCAGGGGGGATGGCCATGCCCCAATCCCTTCTCCTCCATTCTCCTCTCAGGATTTGGGCATGCACATGTCTGGTGTGAGTTTCAAGCTGCTGGGTCTGGGACTCAAACCACAGTCAGCCATGTGGGAGTCCAGCGATGTAACCATTACGCCATCTGTTGGTTCCTAGGATGGGCATCTTGATATCTTTACTCCTGTCCCCAGGGAGCCATGGAAAGGATGAGATGGAGGCACCCCAGTGAAGAACCAGCTCTTGAGGGCTGGGCCAGGGAGAGGCAGGGTGGATGGAGGCCAAGGAAATAGGGAACAAGATTTTCCAGGGCTCTCTGCCCCCTGCCCTGCTCTTGGATGCCCAAGGAGGCAGGGGCACAGATGGCACCTGACGAGGTAGTACAAGATGTCACAGCAGCCAGGCCATGTACAGCTGTCTCACAAGGTACTCCCACTTGTCCCACGTGCCCAAGCCTGGGAGCGTAAGGAGCACAGGGTCCATAGGGATAGGTCCATAGGGATAGGTATCTCGCCCCTCATTTCTACAATCCCACACATGAACCAACTACAAAAAGGCCGAAAGCCCAGGCCCAGGCCCAGGCCAGCACTGCAGAGTTCGTCACAGTGAGAGAGGCTGTGACTCTGTTTCTTTTTTGCTATAGGGCGCGTGTGCTCACCAGAGAGACAGAAAGAGACAGAGAGACAGAAAGCAAGAAATCACCTCCCCAGGGGGGATGGCCACGCAGCAATCCCTTCTCCTCCATTCTGCTCTTGGGATCTCAGGCACGCATGCACACGCGCCCGGCATGAGTTTTAAGCCACCGGGTCTGGGACTCGAACCGCAGTTGACTACATGGGAGTCCAGTGACATAGCCATTACGCTAACTGCTGGTCCCAAGGCTGTGACTCTGGGTGGGAGGTATAACCAACAGGGCTGGCACAGGTCTGCTCTCCAGCCTGCTTTGTATCCTCAGGCTTCTCCTACGTGAAATGCTACAGGACCCAGCTGAATGCCACTACATGCCAGAGCCAGTGTCCTAGCATAGGGTGTGGAGCACTTTCATGCAGCAGCTGGGGTCCCGACAAGCGCCCAGACACTTGGGGAGAACACACCCTGTGCCAGACACATACTAGGCGCTCGGTGGGATGACCAAGTAAGGCTCTGACACAGCCTACCCACCTCAGCATCCCCACCTCTAAACCCCCCTCCTGACCTGTATTCCAGACCAAGGGAAAAGGACGGGACGGACCCAGGGCATAGATGAGGCTGGGACAGGAGCTGGGCAGTCCGACACATGTGATGCACATTCCTCCCTGAGCCCGCTGGGCATCCAGAAGCTTCAGCTGGATATTCAGATGCAATGTAGAAAGGACAGCTGCCCCGAGTCAGGACCGCAGATTTGGGGGGTGGGGGTGGGGCTCAAACACCATTTTTACTCCAACTCCTTGACCTCATAGTCAACAGAAACCGAGGTCTAGAGTGAGGAAAGTCTTGCCATGGGTTTCAGAGTAGGCTGCAAACACAGGCCACATTAAAATGCAGCAGGCTCCCCTGACAGGGTGCCTAAACACCCCCTTCCATGCTCTGCCCGCCCCCCTCAGAGGTGCAGAGCAGCCTGGAATAGTCACAGAAAGCAAGGTCTCTCCTTGGCTCTTCCATCCCCAGACCTGCCAGCCCTTATGGCAAGGGAGTCAGAGTTTCCCTAATCAGAGGTAGGGAC